TAGCTAAGTTATTTCCACAGCCAATCTACTTTCGGAGCCAAGCTGACTGCCACCGAAAGGATTGTTGATTCACTGATGATTTCCGAAAATTAAGGAAAATAGTTGCAACTTCTAGATAGACAAGTGTAACTTTCCAAAATCATTTTGTTAATCTTATCCATATTACAAGTATAAATAGAAGTCATACTTAAGATTTTTGGACTCAAGGCGAAAAATTAAGCAATTCTTATACTTGTATTATCTTTCAACTTCCAATTTCCGTATAGAGGAGAGCGATTTTGATTTAACATGTGGATTTTGGGTCAAGAACCCTAAATTGACATTCCAGGCAATTATGTGTGAGATGACACTATTTTTGGATAGTTGACTAAAGAATGTCAAAATTCTAATTATAAATGGAATTATGAAACTATTTATGAAATTGATTACAATATGATAAACTAAATGTGTTGATCGGTATTGACGTCAAGCATGTTCAATTATGATACATGAATTGTAGGCGTCTAACTCCTTCTTTGTCAAGCCCTTGCTTAAAATTAAGTATAAAAACAAAAATAACAATTCCATCATTTTACATTATTGAAATCACATTCATCTCAAATGTTTGCCCAATCAAAATATGAAATTGGATTTCAATTCCATTTCCGCATTTCCACCAAAGAAATTTTCAATTCCAATTAATCTAGAATTTGTATATAATCAAAAGTTGAGTTTCATGACGAACTAGATAGTAAGTTACCAATATGCCCTTCTCCCTACCCCTAAAGGCCTAACCACCTCTCCTTGGACCTTCCCTCCAAATTTTGCGTACCAAAATTTCCTCCCCTCCTTATAATAAGTTATAATACTCCCAACACGCTTCTCACTTCTTCAGGCACCTCCCTACCACCCATCCACCACCCAGAAAAATGGCTCTTTGCAATTCCAGCTCACTCCTCCCGACTAAATCTTTCCCAATCCAATCTCTTCCGACCACCACCACCAACATATCCATCCGACCAATCTCCGCCGTCCATTCCCCTAACCCCTCATCTTCAAAACCAGCTTCACCTGCCACATCAGCCACCGTCTCCACCGCTACCCCTAAACTCTCAACAACCAGCCCAAAATGGACCATAGACAGCTGGAAATCGAAAAAGGCTCTTCAACTTCCGGAATACCCAGATCAAAGAGACCTCGAATCAGTCCTTGAAACCCTCGAGGCGTTCCCTCCAATCGTATTCGCCGGAGAAGCACGAAGCCTCGAGGAACGACTCGGTGAGGCTGCAATGGGCAATGCGTTTCTGTTACAGGGCGGCGATTGTGCTGAGAGTTTCAAGGAGTTCAATGCGAATTATATTCGTGATACTTTCAGAGTAATTCTTCAAATGGGTGTCGTGTTGATGTTCGGTGGTCAAATGCCTGTTATCAAGGTCAATTCTTTCTTCAATCCTTATCATTTTTCTATCATTCAAAGTTTACCCAATTTGTAGTTTCATTATGATTCCATAGTCTAGAGTTTTACAAAGAATATGAAATCTGAATTCATGAGAACATATTTGAAATTGATGGAAGTGAAATGATAAGGAATGAAAACAAATGACGTCTCTGTCAAATTCCAAGTTTGATTGTGGCCTCTTTAATTTAATACTTACAATCGGCAGCCAAAAATAAAGCTATCATCTTTTTCTTTAACGTCAAAGTGACCAGTGTCACTCGGTTTATAGATTGGACTAGCAATGGAGTCTATGACTTATCTCTGATTCTTGGTTTTTGATTAAACAGGTAGGAAGAATGGCTGGTCAATTTGCTAAGCCTCGATCGGACCCTTTTGAAGAGAAAGATGGTGTGAAGCTACCAAGTTACAGAGGCGATAATGTAAACGGTGATGCATTCGATCTAAAATCAAGAACACCCGACCCTCAAAGATTAATCAGAGCATACTCCCAATCCGCAGCCACTCTTAATCTTTTAAGGGCATTTGCCACCGGAGGGTATGCTGCTATGCAAAGGGTAAACCAATGGAATCTTGATTTCACAGAGAACAGCGAACAGGGTGATAGGTATGTTACTTAAAGGTCCCTCAAGAATGAAGATTCCACTTTTCCACCATGATTCATAGTTTAGGAGAATGAATATGACGAAAGGGTATAATAGACATTTTAAATCTTATTTTTTTTTACATCATTAGGTACCGTGAACTAGCTAACCAAGTGGACGAGGCATTAGGGTTCATGGCAGCTGCTGGTCTTACAATCGATCATCCAATCATGACCACTACTGATTTCTGGACATCACACGAGTGTTTGCATTTGCCTTATGAACAATCTCTTACAAGAAAAGATTCAACTTCCGGGTTATACTATGATTGTTCTGCTCATTTCCTTTGGGCTGGTGAGCGAACCCGTCAATTAGATGGTGCACATGTCGAGTTTCTTAGAGGAATCGCAAATCCTCTTGGAATTAAGGTACCTGATTTACATATCACATGAGTTAGTGTGGGCCAGCTCTGGGGTTGTTGGAATAAAACTGACAAAAGTTTTCTTATTTTGAAAGGTGAGCGACAAAATGGATCCAAATGAGTTGGTGAAGCTCATTGACATTTTGAATCCGGAGAACAAACCGGGGAGGATTACAATCATAACGAGAATGGGAGCAGAAAACATGAGAGTGAAGCTTCCTCATCTTATTAGAGCAGTTCGAAGAGCTGGTCAAATTGTCACTTGGGTTACCGATCCTATGCATGGCAACACCATTAAGGCTCCAAGTGGCTTAAAGACTCGACCCTTTGACGCTATTAGGGTAACTCACTCTCTTTTTAACTTTCTGTATCAGAACTTAAAAACCGAGATATCCACAAAAAGTTAAATCATTATAATGTTTAGAATTATTGGTACAAGTAGTTGAGTCATAATGAAAAGGACTAACAAATCAATAGGAACCAAAAATAAGTCTTTTTTGTGTGTTTTACTTGTGCATTGGACCTTGGGAGGCTTTCGTGACACGACATGACATGACATAATAGGTTGAACTGCGTTTGACATGCATTGGACAGTGCCTGATATTAATAAGAAAAAGATTGCAATTTTGTGTCTTGGTGATATATAGGAGCACTTGTGTTGCACATCATCATTTGTGATCATTAAAAGAACATCCCATTCGTATAACCCACGAGGAGTTGCTTATATTTTGGTTGGCCATATATAATTTATGGGGAGGGACCGGTCGATTCTCCAAGATTTATTTATTTTGGACCGTACTTATAATTATTTATAAAGTTTCAATTATCAACCATTTGTTTTCGGAACGGGGGACCGATATTTTGGAACTACCCTCATAACTTTTGTTGTGGAAATTAAATACATTTTTTTAAAAACTATCTGAACAAAATATCTCGAAACATGTCACATATCATTAGTTTTCTCTAATGTGATTTGAAATATCATATACCACGTAGAGTCTAATAATAAGTTGTTGCGATAGGCGGAAGTGAGAGCATTCTTTGACGTGCATGAACAAGAAGGAAGCTTTCCAGGAGGGGTTCATCTTGAAATGACGGGGCAAAATGTAACCGAGTGCATCGGTGGATCAAGAACCGTGACATTTGATGATCTATCGTCACGCTACCACACTCATTGTGACCCGAGGCTCAATGCATCTCAAGCACTTGAGCTAGCCTTCATCATAGCTGAGCGCCTGCGAAAGCGGAGAATCACTGCTCGGTCGATTAATTAAGCTTGAAGTTAATTTATGTTTCTTGTGTTCTTTTATAAATCGATCATATTAGGTTGCTTATAAGAGTACATTATCATTATTCTTTTTCAAATGTATAAGAATGAAGAAATTGGCAGACCAGTTCAAAATCTAGCTTTTAATGGAAAAACTAGTTTTTGTCAGATACGCTAGATTGTAGTTGATTAGGTAGCTAATAAAATGATACCGTTTAACTAATAATCTAGATGAAATATATATATAAAATAACATAAAAAAACATTTAAATATACAATTAACTTATATGAGAGTGTAATTATAAAACTTGTGTAAAAAAGTCCAATGAGTTCATCAACAAGTTATTTAAATTTTGTTTTTTAAAAAAAATTAGTTTATAAGATACTTTAGTGGTTATACATCAAATGAGTTTTCAAACTTTCAGTAAATAAACTTTCAGCAAAGTCCGCCTAAGAGATATATGTTATGTGTTGATTAATACGGTATAGAATGTATTTTAAAACCATGTAATTGGTTACCAAAAAGCAACATTTATTTTATTTGATTATAAACTTGTAACACGATCCTTAAAATATTAATTCTCAATATATTTTTCATAAATTAAAAGTTGTGCTAGAGTACACTATTTATTCGTGTAATTTGATTTGAGGATTTTTTTTTTTCTTTTTTTGGCACATGGGATGGCGAACTTGAAAGCAACTTTGTTTTTTTGGTTTTACGCTTGCAGGGAAATTCGGGCATTGTTGTTATCCAAGTGTTAATTCAGTCGCATGATCCAAAATATCATTATATCTTCTCATAACTTGTGCCTTCTGCAATATGGATGGGACCCGAAGGAAGGACCACCATGGCTGGAGCTTGGATGATTATTATTATTATTATTATTTTGTAGTCATTGTATTTCGATTACTTTCTAAATATCTATTGTACTTGTATAAATACAAATTTGGATTAGATATTAGAAAATGATTCTTATTAGTTGATTTTTAAAGATACCCCTAACAACTCACAAGGTTCTTTTTGGTCGATTTTCACATATACCCCTCGAATAGTTCATTATAATAGATTTTCTCGCCTTATCTCATCATATACTTGAATTCAAACGATTTTGGATACATCAAATTTCTTCTAAACCTTACATATGGTATAATACTAATATGAAACTAGTGTGAGGAACAACTGGATAGAATAATTATTGTTTAATCGGGGATATGGAACCACATAGATAACATCAAATAAGATGAAATGAACAGATGTGATGTAAAATCCAATTCCAAAAATAATATTAGATTCAACCATCTCAACAAAAAAAAAACAAATAAACTTGTCACTCAAAACTGCTTCATAACAAATGATGTTATCAAAATCACAAACCTTAACCTATGCTGCAACAGAAGGCTTAGATGCAGCAGAAAGCCTGGATCTCTTCTTTGCTAAGCTCTCACTACGCTTCTCTCTCTGCTCCTTCAATCTGGAAGCAAGAAGTTTCTGGTATTCAGCTGCCTCAGATTTTGCTTTTGCAACTCTCTTCTTTTTATCTGCAATTCTTGCTCGTTTCCTTTGCAATGTCAATGGAGTCACCAATCTCTGTATCTTTGGTGCTTTACTAACCTCCTTTCCTGCACTCATAACATGTCAAACATCACCCCTTTACTTTTTCATCCGAAGGAAAAAAGTAACAGAAGGAAGAACTTACCGGCTTTGTTTGTAAATGTTCTTCTGTATGTGTTGACATACTTCCTAACATCATCTTCTTTTGAAAGATTGAAAAGTTTACGGATTTTTGATGCCCTTTTTGGACCTCTCATTCTAGGTTTTTCAACATCGGTCAATCCAGGAAGATCATTGTCACCCTTCTTGACAATGACAAGATTCAAAACAGAAAGATCTTGGCTCACTATACAACCACGTACAGACTTTCTTCTCCTTTCTCCATTCCTTCTTCCATACCCACGAAAGCAGGGTGTTCCTCTCACAAGAAGAAGGCGAACTCTGCCAGGAGTTAAGACTCCTTGTTTCATTGGAAACCCTTGTTTGTCACATCCTCCCATGATTTTGAAAACATAGCCTTTGAATTCCTATGAACATTGAAAAGAAGCTTTTGGACATGAAGATATGAACTGTAAGAGAATCTGATGGGATATTATTAATGGAGAAAATGGCAAACAATGTACCTCGCCAAGGGCATCTCCGTTGACTTCCTGTGAGATCCTCTTGTCGTAGAATGCACGGCTTGAAAAAGGAAGAAGGAGATAGAAGTTTAGAAAAGCTAATTCGATAAAAAAAATCAATGGATAAAAGCATGCGAAGAACAAATATTAATCAGTTCAACAATCCGATTACCACTAGAACCGAGACAGGGATAGACAAAAAAAAAGGCATTTGGTACGATTCAATCAGAAGATTCAGGGTAAAATTAGCATCGAAAAACTATCCATATCAACAGAATCATTAAAAAATGATATACATTGCCAATATAAACCCTAGATTTCTGCTGAACTTGAACAAAATCCCAAAAAGTTGAAAAATCGAAATCACTAATACTAATGAAAAACGTATTAAACTTACAGTTTTTGATCATCATCAATCTCGAGTTTCTTCTGGCACCCGGTGGTGGGATTGGCAATATTAAACTATAAAAACGCAGACGAAAACAGTGAGAATCGAATGAAAGATTGTAATTTGAAGAAATCTAATAATTTGATTTGTCTAGAGTTTCAAACCTTCATCTTCTCTCCCGCTCTTGATTATGCGGCGTTGGAACAAAGGGCTGCTGCGCTAGGGTTCCTCTTTAACGATACACGTATATAGTCCTATATTTTATTTTACTTTTTACTTTCCTTTTTTTCTCGCTTTGTATACAAAATAGTGAATACCATCTAAATATAAAGTAAGTTAATATCACCAATTAATATTACTTAATCGTAAGGTTTTTGTATAATATCGTTTTATTAAAATCACATCTTATAGTAACTGATTATTTAGCACTGTTTGGCAGGATCTAAATTTTTAAAATCTGAATTTTTAAAATGTTTGAATTTCTAAGAGGGTTTGAATTAGGGATGAGCATATGGACCGGGGAACCGGTACCGGAACCGGAACCCGATGGAACCGGTCGGTCCGGGACCGAAACGATATTGTTGTGGATTTTTTGAACCGGGAACCGGCAAAAATCGGAACCATATGTTGCTATTTCTCGAGGACCGGTTCCAACATTGAAGACACGACAAGAACCGGTAGAACCGGCGGTCCGGTTCGGTTTTTAATTTCGGCCGAATTCGGTTCCCGGGCCGGCCCGGGTCCGGTTCGGGCCGGTTCCAGCCGGGTCGGTTCCTTTACTCGTCCCTAGTTTGAATTTTTAACATGTTGTTTGGTTGGAACCTCTGAATTGATGTGATGAATTATAAAAATGACAATTTTACCATTCTGTCTTATTTTTCGTTGAATTTAATGTTTCTATTTATAAAATAACCGAACCAAACTCCTTAAATAATTATAAAAAATATATAAACACCATACAAAATATTATGCTCTGATAGGAAGAGGTGAAAGTATGATATTATAATAAAGAAACATATAAAAGTACATTGCTATTTCATACATTCACCCTTACAAAAACAAGCTTACAATAGGCTATGAAAACAAACTAAAATGTATGTTTATATAGATCACATTACATGTATACAACTTGATTCATTTGCACATCACGACAAATACAAACGGTTTCTTGAAAAAAAAACCTTAATAGTTACTCCAGGCGCTTTCTTGAAAAAAAAAAGGCTTTTTATGTAAAATTCCAAAAGAAGACCAAAATACCCCTTAAAAATTTTCTTTCACCCAACCTTTAAACCATCAACCAACTCCTTTCTTCCGGCCATCCAAAGTCTCGATGCTTCATGCAATCTAGAATAACCTAGTCTCACTTGATAATAACAAGGAAAAGACCATTATACCCTTTATTTTAATTTTTGCAGCAGGTCATTCAATATTTTTGTCACACCCCCGAACCAGACGGCGGAAACGTCTGAGGGCTCGTGTGACTTAAATTGAAATATAATCACAATGAATATACATGAAACATAACATAAACATCACCATGCATTAATACATTACAATCGTCATTGTTCACATCAAGTACATTGTTTACATTACATAATCCCAAACATAAATTGTTTATCGAATGACATCACACAAAAGACATTCAGACACACGCTTGATAATTCTTCATTCTAACGGTTACCTGAGAACACAAGTTATTTTGAAAACGGTCAACATATATAATGTTGGTGAGTTCATAAGCATGTTTGATATGAAAATGTTTTGTATTGTTTGTAAAACCCAGAAAATCCGATATTTTCTGAAACATAAATTGTTTACGAAAAAGGTGTGATGATCCATAAGTATACGTGTAAATGATTTCAAGAAATGAAAAAGTGAAATGTTTTTCATAATAATTTCTTGTATTATAGTTGTTGTAAGTAAAAGTGAATAATGTTGTTCCCCCGGAAAACCCGATGTTTTTCGATATAAATAGCATGATAGTTTTGTATTATTGTATCGTCACAGCATATGAATATGATTTTCCAATGATTACTTAGATGGTAATGGATCTCTATGTGAGTCGTTATAACCATGCATAATAATGACTAATTTTCATGTCTTGGCATTCTAGTGAATGCCAGTCTTGAATTAAGATTTTGTTACCCTAGACTGGCCGAGTCTAACTGTAGCGAACAACTTAGGTGTGGGGGAGTCACCCCCGTATAGATCTATACACAAACTCTCGCTCTCCCTCCAGGAGACTTTGATTATAACTACAGACTACGAACGACACTTATTGGTGTCGCCTGTTATTTCTCACTAATCTAAAAGAAATTGAATACCATTATTTCACGACCCGATTTATGTTTACTTGAATAAAGGTAAGCCTAACAGACGAAGAGAAGAGGACTACGGAGGCCCACTAACTTTGTATGTTATTATAGGTTGTCGAGTACGCTACGGACACGTTATAGCCCATTAAGCATATTATAAAGGTTTAGGGTCTTATTAGCAATGCAAATGGACCATTAAAGCCCATTAGCATATTAAAGTTGATAAAGACCCACTAGGTATGTAATTGGGTCACCGGAAGCCCAATAAACATGTGTGATTATATTGGGCTCAATAATCATGATATTGGGCCATAAAGGCCCAATAGCACGAATAGGAGATATTTGAGCCCAACCATTGAATCATCTATAATTTATTGATCTTAAGTTCGTAATGTAGGTATTTGTTGTAAGTTCGTTGTTTATTCGAAGTGTTAAGATTGTTCTGATGTTTGATTTATAACGAAGCTTGGTTATACGTGTATATATATATATTATATATATATATATATATATATATATATATATATTTAAAAACCATGCGTTATAAACTTAATATTTTTAACCCAATAATTTAATATTTGTCTCTTTGGCCCAAAAACATTTAGTTTGACCATTTCAGCCACTTTATCTATAAAAATGGCACTTTTAGTCCCCTTTTATGAAAATTGATATTTTTGGTCCTTAAACCATTTTTCTTTACATTTTAGACCCAAACTTTATTTAAATAATAATTTCAGCCCAAAACTATTGTATTTGCCATTTCCAGCCCTTAATTGTAAAAAGTTTACACTTTTGGCTCAAATTCCGTAAGTTTTACAATTTTGACCCCAAAATCAAAAACTTTGCATTTTAGTCCAATTTTTGCATCAAAGTCATTTTCAGCCCCTAAAAATAGTTTATTCACGTTTTAGACTCATATTTTGTTAAGTTTTCCAATTCAGCCCCTCAACATTTCATTTTTTCGCAACTTTGGGCCCAAAAACTCGTGAGGCCCAAATTAAAACCCAATAAGCTAAATATTATGTTTTTGACCCCTAGAAAAGTGTTATTTTCATAAAAGTTAGATTTCTATGTAAATAATACCATTTTGTTCTTATAAAACCGAAAATTTCATATTTTACCCAAACTTTGATTATTTTTGCAAAAATGACACTTAAAAGTACTTTGATTTTGTTTTCACTTCTTAAGCCTAAAGATCCTTAGATCTTTGAAGTAAGTTGTTTATTATGTACATTGTTTATGTATTCTTCATACTTTAGCCATAGATTTCAAGATTTAGCAAATAATATCATATTTTCACAACATAAACCAACGAAATCACATATAACAAGCATACACACATAGATCAACACATAGTACTTGTATTCTCCCCCCAAAAACAAGTAAAAATCAAAAACAAGGGGGTATGATTTCACCTTGGATTTGTTGGTTCGGTTTTGGAGAAAGAAATGGAAGAGATTGATGTTATTTCCGGCCCTAGTAAGCTTCTTGAGAGGACTTTGGTTTAGATAGCTTCTAAGGAGTAGATCACGAAAATTGCATGAGTTAGGAAGAGGTTTTTGATGAAATAAAGAAACTAAGCCATGGATCTAAGTAATAACTTGCCAAAGGTGATGATTTTTATGGAAAAACCTTCTTGAAATGCCCTAGATCTCGAAATTTTTGAGAGGAAATGAGAGGTTGTTGTTGTGAGTGTTTGAGAGAAAATTCAAGTAAGGTGTGTGTGTGTGATCCTCGGCCGAAGATAAGAAGAAGAGAGGGATGAGAGAAGTGGTGAGGTGATGGATGCATGGGGATGTGAGAAGGGTGCATGGATATCCCCCATACAATTTTGAGGTGTCACCCCCTTTAATACCCATTAGTCTTATTTCCCCTTTTTTTTATCTTGGTCCGAATTCTTGGGCTAGGAGGAAGGAAATAGATTAATTTGGCCCACTTCTTATCTTGGTTCAAAATTTTGAGGTCCATAAAGAAGTTTTCGGCCCATTAGGCCCTTAGGGTGGTTCACGGCCCAATTAGCATAAAAGATTTGGTTTGTGGCCCATTAGGGCTAATTAGATTTGTTATGGCCCAACAAGGCCCAATAAAGGCAAACTAATTCATTTTAGGCCCATTATAGCCCAAAATGTTAAGTTTCATGCAAGTGGTCTAATTAGAGCCCATTTAAGGGTCCTAAGCCCAAAATAGTCAAATTGGAGGCTTATTGGTCCATTAGGCCCAACAAGAAAATCCTAGTCCATAATGGACTTAAACCGGGATTTTTAGGGTTTCCAATCTTTTGTTGACTATTTGAAGTGTTTGTATTGAGTGTTTGATGGAATTTTGTTGTCGTTGAATAAACATCGTGCATGCTTTCAAGTTTTAGTCACAAATGTTATCATTGTTAATGTTTACAAAAGCATTAGAATTCCTAGTTGTAACAATTTTTTATCTTTAATTCAGAAACATTAATACCCATCAAACTGCAACCAAGGTTATGATTACAAAATATACGATCTAAAGTGATTAGGGTATTCAAATTGTGTTATAACCATCGAGTTAAATTGGAGTTTTATCTTTTATGTGTTAGGTTGGATTAAAAACATCATCTATATCTACCTGTTTCTTCCTCATCAGCTAAAGTGGTGGTTTTCCTTGAAAATACTAGACTTTTCACAAACAATTGGTGTGCTTAAGAGCTTCAATGAGTGAACTCTTATATCCACAAACATAAAACTGCATTTATGACTAGAAACATAAACCTAACTGTGTATTTACAAACATAAACCTGCATTTATGACTAGAAAACATCTAAATTAGTATTTACAAACATAAACCTGCATTTATGACTAGAAAACATCTAAATTAGGTTTCTTAAGACATTGACTATGTATTTCCAAAATTGACTGAATGGAACATTGGATTATATACTCTAGAATAAGATATTCAAACAAAAACGAGG